TCACCCCAGACAATCTCCAGCCTGCCTTGGTCATCCCATACTACCTCCAGGCTGCCTTGTTCACCACCATAGAACCTCCAGGCTGCCATGTTCATCCCATACAACCTCCAGGCTGCCATGTTCACCCCCATACAACCTCCAGGCTGTCTTGTTCACCACATACAACTTCCAGGCTGCCATGTGTACCCTATACAACCTCAAGGCTGCCTTGTTCACCCTATACAACCTTCAGGCTGCCTTGTTCACCGCAAACAACCTAAAGGCTGCCATGTTCACCACTATTCAACCTCCAGGCTGCCATGTTCACCACTATACAACCTACAGGCTGCCATGTTCACCACCTTACAACCTCCAAGCTTCCTTGTTCACCACATACAACCTCCAGGCTGCCATGTTCACCCCCATAGAACCTCCAGGCTGCCATGTTCACCCCATTCAACCTCCATGCTGTCATGTTCACCCCATACAACCTTTAGGCTGCCTTGGTCACCCTATACAACCTCCAGGATGCCATGTTCACCACCATACAACCTTCAGGCTGCCATGTTAACCACCATACAACCTCCAGGCTGCCTTGTTCACCCCCATACAACCTTCAAGCTGCCTTGTCCACCCCCATACAACCTCCAGGCGGCCTTGGTCACCCCATACAACCTCCAGGTAGCCTTGTTCACTATCATAAACCCTCCAGGCTGCCATGGTCACCCCTATACACCCTCCCGGCTGTCATGTTCACCACCATACAACTTCCAGGCTTCCTTGTTCACCCTATACAACCTCCCGGCTGCCTTGTTCACCCCATACAACCTCATGGCTGCCATGTTCACCCATATACAACCACAAGGCTGCCATGTTCATCCCATACAACCTCCAGGCTTCTTTGTCCACCCTATACAACCTATAGGCTGCCATGTTCACCCCATACAACCTCCAGGCTGCCATGATAACCAGAATACAACCTCCAGGCTGCCATGTTCACCCTATACAACCTCCAAGGCCGCCATGTTCACTCCATACAACCTCCAGGCTGCCTTGTTCACCACCATACAACCTCCAGGCTGCCATGTTCACCCCATACAACCTCCAGGCTGTCATGTTCACCCTATACAACCTCCAGGCTGCCATGTCCACCACCATACAGCATCCAGGCTTCCATGTTACCCCTACACAACCTCCAGGGTGCCATATTCACCCCATACAACCTCCAGGCTAACATGTTCACTCCATACAACCTCCAGGCTGCCATATTTACCCTATACAACCTCCAGGCTGCCATGTTCACCACTATACAACCTCCAGGCTGCCATGTTCACCACTATACAACCTACAGGCTGCCATGTTCACCACCTTACAACCTCCAAGCTTCCTTGTTCAATCCATACAACCTCCAGGCTGCCATATTCAGCCTATACAACCTCCAGGCTGCCTTGTTCACCCTATACAACCTTCAGGCTGCCTTGCTCACCACAAACAACCTCCAGGCTGCCATGTTCACCACTATACAACCTCCAGGCTGCCATGTTCACCACTATACAACCTACAGGCTGCCATGTTCACCACCTTACAACCTCCAAGCTTCCTTGTTCAATCCATACAACCTCCAGGCTGCCTTGTTCACCCTATACAACCTCCAGGCTGCCTTGTTCACCCTATACAACCTCCAGGCTGCCTTGTTCACCGCAAACAACCTCCAGGCTGCCATGTTCACCACTATACAACCTCCAGGCTGCCATGTTCACCACTATACAACCTACAGGCTGCCATGTTCACCACCTTACAACCTCCAAGCTTCCTTGTTCACCACATACAACCTCCAGGCTGTCTTGTTCACCCCACACAACCTCCAGGCTGCAATGTTCACCATAATACAACCCCCAGGCCTCCTTGTTCACCACATACAACCTCCAGGCTGCCATGTTCACCCCCATAGAATCTCCAGGCTGCTATGTTTACCCCATACAACCTCCATGCGGCCTTGTCCACACCATACAACCTCCAGGCTGCCTTGTCCACCCCATTCAACCTCCAGGCTAACATGTTCACCCCATACAACCTCCAGGCTGCCTCTGTCACCCCCATACAACCTCCAGGCTGCCATATTCACCCTATACAACCTCCAGGCTGTCATGTTCACCCCATACAACCTCCAGGCAGCATTGTTCACCCCATACAACCTCCAGGCTGCATTGGTCACCCTATACAACCTCCAGGCTGTCATGTTCACCCCATACAACCTCAGGCAGCATTGCTCACCCCATACAACCTCCCGGCGGCCATGTTCACTACCATACAACTTCCAGGCTGCCTTGTTCACCCCATACAACCTCCAGGCTGCCTTGTTCAACTCATACAACCTCCAGACTGCCATGTTCACCATCATACAACCTCCAGGCTGCCTTGGTCACCCCATACAACCTCCAGGCTGCCTTGTCCACCCCATGCTACCTCCAGACTGCTTTGGTCACTCCATACAACCTCCAAGCTGCCATGGTAACCACCATAAAACCTCCAGGCTGCCATGTTCACCCTATACAACCTCCAGGATGCCATGTTCACCCCATACAACCTCCAGCCTGCCTTGCCATGTTCACCGCATACAACCTCCAAAGCTGCCATGTTCACCTAATACAACCTCCAGGCTGCCATGTTCACCACCATACAACCTCCAGGCTGCCTCGTTTACCCCACAAACAACCTCCAGGCTGTCATGTTCACCACCATAGAACCTCCAGGCTGCCATGTTCACCCCATACAACCTCCAGGCTAACATGTTCACACTATACAACCTCCAGGTTGCCTTATTCACCACCATACAACCTCCAGGCTGCCATATTCACCCTATACAACCTCCAGGCTGTCATGTTCTCCCCATACAACCTCCACGCAGCTTTGTTCACCCCATTCAACCTCCAGGCTGCCTTGGTCACCCCATACAACCTCCAGGCTGCCTTGTTCACCCCATACAACCTCCGAGCTGCATTGTTCCCCCACATACAACCTCTAGCCAGCCTTGTTCACCCCATACAACCTCCAGGCTGCCTTGTTCACACCATACAACCTACAGGCGGCCTTGTTCACCCCATACAACCTCCAGGCTGCCTTGTTCACCCCATACAACCTCCAGGCGGCCTTGTTCACCACCACACAACGTCCAGGCTGCCTTGTTCACCCCATACATCCTCCAGGCTGCCTTGTTCACCCCATACAACCTTCAGGCTGCCATGTTCATCTTATGCAACCTCCAGGCTGCCATATTCACCCTATACAACCTCCAGGCTGCCTTGTTCACCCCATACAACCTCCAGGCTGCCATGTTTACCTTATGCAACCTCCAGGCTGCCATATTCACACTATATAACCTCCAGGCTGCCTTATTCACCCCAAACAAACTCCAGGCTGCCATGTTCAACCGATGCAACCTCCAGGCAGCTTTGTTCACCCCATACAACCTCCAGGCTGCCATGTTAACCACCATACAACTTCCCGGCTGCCTTGTTCACCCCCATACAACCTCCAGGCTGCCAGGTTAACCACCATTCAACCTCAAGGCTGCCATGTTCACCCCATACAACCTCCAAGCTGCCATGTTCACCCGATTCAACCTCCGGGCTGCAATGTTCACCCCATTCAACCTCCAGGCTGCCATGTTCACCCCATACAACCTCCAGGCTGTCATGTTCACCCCATACAACCTCCAGGCTGCCTTGCTCACCCTATACAACCTCCAGGCAGCCATGGTCACCCCCATACAACCTCCAGGCTGCCTTGTTCACCCCATACAACCTCCAGGCTGTCATGTTCACCCCATACAACCTCCGGGCTGCCATGTTCACCCCATACAACCTCCTTTCTGCCATGTTCCCCCCATACAACCTCCAGGCTGCCATGTTCATCCTATGCAACCCGCTCCCTTACTGATTATCTTTCTCCTCTAAATCCAAGAGCCAATGAGAAGCAAGTTTACAAAACAGGATCTCATTGGGCGAATACCTCATGAGCAGCACAGGTCTTGTCTTGATAGCCAATCCCAGTCAACTATTGACAAAATATAGCTGTTGTCTCTATCAGGAGTTACGTGATTCCTCTCTCACTCAGTCTACCTGCCTCTCTCACTCCGTCTATCTCACTCCCTCACTCAGTCTACTTCACTCTTGCACTCAGTCTACCTCACTCTCTCACTCCATCTACCTCACTCTCTCACTCAGTCTACTTCACTCTTGCACTCAGTCTACCTCACTCTCTCACTCCATCTACCTCACTCTCTCACTCAGTCAACTTCACTCTCTCACTCTGTCTCCCTGACTGTCACTCAGTCTACCCAGTATTATTGATATATCATTACTGAGGGACGCTTGTATAGCTCTCGATGTAAGCTGTAGGTGACAACAGCTGGACAGTACTGTCCTACTACTGTAATTTGGACGGTAGAATCCAGGCTACATATAGTAAGTTAATCCTTTATGTATCCTGTAGCCTACTGCAGAGGATGAGTCTCAGTATCGTGGCTGAAGATAAATATGACCAAACCACACATCAGAATATTGAGAGACGAAGACATTTCGGTCCGTCCTGGACCATATTCAAGTCGTATCTGTCAATCGACATGATAATAGGCCAGGACGGACCGAAACGTCGTCGCTTCGCCAGCTTCTGATGTGTGGTTTAGTCAGCATCTGGATCCTACTGTCCAAAACTCATCATGGAAATAAAATTGTTCTTCTCAATGTTCTAATGTTCTTAAACGTGTTCTAATTGAAAATAGACATGTCTATGTCTATGAGTATAAAGGTTATATACAGTGTAGTAGGAAGGAGAGAAGATGGAGCATATGAGTCAATGACAGTCTTTATCATAGGGAATAACTGACCTACATTAGTAACTAACATTTTAATGCTCTCCAGTAGCTTGTTAGGTGATAACTGAACCCACCTTGTTAGGCAGATCACAGTGTTTGAGTTAGCATGATGAGCGTGACGTGATGTACCCATTCCCGCCCCCAGGCCGGCTTGATCCAGCGCTGGAGCCAGCTTGTGCTGGACGACGCCAGTATTCGGGAACGAGCTAAGCGGAAGGAGCGGGCGAGCAGCGAGGGAAAGATGGCGTCAGACGAAGTGGCAGAGAAGATGTTGTCGCTAGTGGCCAACTCAGAGGTCGGCCTCCAAGCGCTCACCCTCACGCATCTTCAAGGACCATTCTTCCTGCTGGTGTTGGGCCTCACAGTGGCTCTCCATGTCCTGGTCGGGGAGGTCTTAATGGCTTACTACACACCATGAGGGATCCAGCCTTCCACAACCGCCATCAACACCTATACCTTAGACCAGATGTTGATGCTGCTTGGCAGTAAACAATAGTGGATAATGGAATTTACAGATATTAACACTTTAATATTGATGACTGCAATCAGTTCACTATTAGTGATATTATTTTCCTTTATTTTGTTATTATCATTAATATATATTTTGCATTTTCTATTATTTTCAGAATTACACAAAGAGTATAATTACACTAACGTGGCTGCATCAATGAGAAAATCCGTAGGAGCCGTGATGGGGGTTCGAACCTGTGCGATTGGTGTTCCTACGCACATGCTTTAGCGAGTAAATCACGACATGGTAATCAGGATTGCAACCTGGAGTTCTACTGAACACACACACACACACGGATTTTCTGAGGCTTCTACTGAAGCCGGAACACAGGAACAAGATTTTCACCCAATCCCGCCCATGCACTCTGGCTCTGTCATCAAGATGTCACTAGAAGCGTGGGAACACCCCAACCCGTCCTCACACTAGGCTGTTTAAAGCAGCGGCCCTCCTCCCCAGATGCATTCATCTTTTTTTAACATACTATGTATTAAAAATTGGTTTGTTCTCATATTTAAATTAATATTCTTATACATAAAAAATTGTATGTATAGTTTAGCGTAGGTTAGGTTAGGTGTTTAGGTTCTGTTGGTAATTATTTGTATTTATAAGTTCGTGAGTGAAGCATTTATAGAATTGTGGTTCGAACAAAGGACGTGAGCGAAGCACTTGTTCCGGAAGTGTTCGGACGTCATCTGTTGTGACAGCCCGTCCTCCAAATAAAGATCCAAAAGTGATTCCATGCACCCGTCAAACCCCCTGTTTATGAATGAAAAGCGGGTTACACACGACTCACAACTGCTGAAGTTCGAACATATCCGGAACAAGTGCTTCACTGACGAATTTTGTTCGAACCACAACGCTGTAAATGCTTCACCCACGTACTACAAATACAAATAATCGCCAACAGAACCTAAACACCTAACCTAACCTATCCTATGCCTATATATACACAATATGCTAATATATTATAATATTAATTTATACTTGAGAAAATTCCCGTTTTGAATGAACAGCATGTTAAAATTGGTGAATGCGTCTGTGGGGTTGACCGCTGGATGGAATGGACTTGAGTCGAGGATGGGTTGGTTGTGAGTCGTGTGTAAACCGCTTTTCATTCATAAACAGGGGGGTTTGGCGGCTGGATTAAAGAGCTTGGATCTTTGTATGCGAGAACGGGTTGAACACCCACCGTATGTGTTCGAACCCTCTTCACGATTCCTCTGGATTTTCTCATTTTCAGTATTTTTTCATTTTCTCATTAATGTTGTATCAACAACATTATTGTTGTTGATACTGTTATTATTACTATTATTGAGGGAATCCACTTGGGGTGTGAAGCAATGCGAACCCTCCTCCAAGGTATTGTCAGCAGTATGCTCTACCACTGTACCGTCATGACTTGTTAAGTCTTACAACCGGATTTCTACTGAAAGCACAGGAAGTCTGGAGAGCCATACTGAAGTCAGTCCAAGTTTCACGTATGACCTCCACATACTCGGGTGAAGGGCACAGCATCGTACGCCTCTACTTCAGATACACACACAAAAAAAATTATTATTATAATTCACAACAATATCACTAAAATATGATTTAAAAACTTGGCCTTGATTCAGCAGGGACCTCTAGAAGTCCTGATGATTCAATGGAATCCCATTTGTATGTAATTTAACATGTCGTGGTACAGGGGTAAGATGAGTGGTTGGGAGTATCCAGATCGCTGGTTCGAGTCACTGCATTGCTCCAACTGATTTTCTAATTATTATTATTATTATTATTATTATTATTATTATTATTATTATTATTATTATCACTACTGAGAAAAATCCGTATGGAGATGTGATGAGGATTCGAACCTATGTTCTTAGTATTCCCATGCACGCGTCTTAGACAACTAGGCCACGACTTGGTCTAAAGGATTCAACCCGTCTTCAACGCAAGTCCATTACATCCAGCGGTCGACCCCACAGACGCATTCATACATTTTTACATGATGTTCATTCAAACCTGGAATTTTCTCAGATATAAATATTATAGTATATTAGTATATTGTGCATGTATAGGCATAGGTTAGGTTAGGTATTTAGGTTCTGTTGGCATTTATTTGTGTTTGTAGTACGTGGGTGAAACATTTATAGCGTTGTGGTTCGAACAAAATTCGTCAATGAAGCACTTGTTCCGGAAGTGTTTTAACGAAATCAGTTATGAGTCGTGTGTAAACCGTTTTTCATTCATAAACAGGGAGTTTGGCAGATGCATGGAATGGACTTTGGCCTTTGTTTATAAGGACGGGCTGCACTCTGGCTCTGTCATCCAAGAATTCAATCTCTGGCTCTGTCATCCAAGAATTCAATCTCTGGCTCTGTCATCCAAGAATTCAATCTCTGACGCTCCTCTTCAATACACTGAGAGCATCACACTAACCTAATTTGTCACATTAGTATGATTACTCTCTGTGTATTGTTGTTATTATTATTATTATTATTATTATTATTATTATTATTTTTATTATTATTTCAGAAAGAAATAACATTAACGTGATAACTCAATGAGAAAGTCAGTAGGAGCCATGAGGAACATTCTAACCTGTGCTCTGGGTACTCAAAAGCAACACTAGACCACTTCACCACGACATAGTAAAACCGTTGCAATTTGGGTGAGAACCCAGCACATTGGTTCGAATCCTCCACATGGCTCCTACTAATGTTCTTCTTCTTCTTATTATTATTATAACTATAATAGAGAAAATCAATGGAGCCTTGAGGAGGACTCGAACCTTCACCCTGGGTACGCCCAAGCACACGGCTCAAACTACTTACCCATGATGTTCTTCAGAATTAATGTAAACTGGGATTAAACTAAATCCTCAATAGGTCTAGAAGCGTCGACCATTACCGACTCCGACTGATTTTGTCATTGATACATGAGGCTAATGACACTTCTTTGTGCATAATTATTATTAGTGTAATGTTTATAATATTTATCTGTGTTACTGTTATTATGTTATTGTTATTAAAGCAATGATTATTGATATAATTATTATTATTATCAACATTAAAATTTATTTATATTTGTTTCTAAACAGTATATATATATATATATATATATATATATATATATATATATATATATATATATATATATATATATATATATATATATATATATATATATATATATATATATATATATATATATATATACATATATATACTATATATACATACATATATATATATATATATACATATATATATATATATATATACATATTATATATATATATATATATATACATATATATATTACATATTATATATATACATATTATATATATACATATTATATATATACATATTATATATATACATATTATATATATATATATATATATATATATATATATATATATATATATATATATACATATATATATTAGTATATTTTGGTAGCAGTCTTTCCTGTAGACATATATTATTAAACATGACCGAAAAAGTAAGATTAATAATTCTAACACGAATTTTCTCGATCTTTCTTACGTTTATTTTCACTGTTGATGGTAATTCAAAAATCAATTCTCCAAAATTCATTTTTATTTCCAGTCTGATGCGACACTTGAGCGCGTTTCGTAAAACTTATTACATTTTCAAAGACTTTAGTTTACACACACACACAACTTTAACTGAATAGAGCTTAAACATCTTCGAGTTTTTATACCTACATTTGGGTGAGGTGACATGTTACAATAGTTTTGGATGAGGTGAAAATAAACTTTTAACACAAGACAGGACACGAAACAATGGGTATTAAAGGTAGGTAACTGCAGAAGGCCTATTTTTATTGGCCCATATTTCTTGATGCTTCTATATAGGAGCGGAGTCTTCAAGTGGGTAGAATATAGTTGTGCATTAATTGGCTGTTGACTTCTTGATGTGTAGTGCCTCGCAGATGTCAAGCCGCCTGCTATCGCAGTATCTATCGATGATTTCTGTGTTGTTTGCTAAGATTACTCTGGTGATGGTTTGGTTGTGGGGAGAGACTATATGTTCCTTAATGGAGCCCTGTTGCTTATGCATTGTTAAACGCCTGGAAAGAGATGTTGTTGTCTTGCCTATATACTGAGTTTTTTGAGGCTTACAGTCCCCAAGAGGGCATTTGAAGGCATAGACGACGTTGATCTCTTTTAAAGCGTTTTGCTTTGTGTCTGGAGAGTTTCTCATGAGTAGGCTGGCCGTTTTTTTGGTTTTATAGTAAATCGTCAGTTGTATCTTCTGATTTTTGTCTTTAGGGATAACGTTTCTACTAACAATATCTTTCAGGACCCTTTCCTCCGTTTTATGGGCTGTGGAAAAGAAGTTCCTGTAAAATAGTCTAATAGGGGGTATGAGCATTGTGTTAGTTGTCTCTTCAGAGGTTGCATGGCGTTTCACTTTCCTTCTTATGATGTCTTCCACGAAACCATTGGAGAAGCCGTTGTTGACTAGGACAAGGCAGGAATCCTACAGAGTTTTTCGTGGACTTGCTTCCATTCTGAGCTGTGGCTGAGAGCACGGTCGACATAAGCGTTAACAACACTCCTCTTGTACCTGTCTGGGCAGTCACTGTTGGCATTCAGGCACATTCCTATGTTTGTTTCCTTAGTGTAGATGCAGTGTGGAAAACTCCGCTCCTTTCCATGACTGTTACATCTATAAAGGGCAGCTTCCCATCCTTCTCCATCTCGTAAGTGAAACGCAACACAGAATTCTGCTCAAATGCCTCCTTCAGCTCCTGCAGATCTCTGACATCAGGTACCTGTGAAAAAATGTTGTCAACATACCTGCAGTATATGGCCGGTTTCAAGTTTATACTTGAAAAAAAATGAATTACTATAGAATGTATTACACTTATTTATACAATTTGCACAACGTTTCGAACCTCCATGGTTCATTCTCAAGTGAAAAGAATTTACAGAACTGGTTGATTTATACCCGCACTGGGTCAGGTGATAAGACAATAAAGGTAAAAACATTGGGGTATCTTAAGGTATAAATGTGGGATGAAGCACATAGGAACATAAGATTAGAGGTAACTGCGGAAGGCCCATAGGAGGCAGCTCCTATCTACATACAAAGATTAATCAGGTGTAGTTGGCCTGTTATGTTGAACAGCGTCATTTGTGTTGACATGTTATGTTCTGGTCTTGTCCTTACTCTCATGGTGGGTAGCGTAAATAGTTCCGTGATTTGGGTGTTCATGGTACGTTGTTCTATTCTTATGTGAATTGCTTCAAGAATTTGTAATCTAATCGTGCCTTGCATAGTAGGCTGAGAAGTGCGTTCTGGTTACTAGGTACGACATATATATATATATATATATATATATATATATATATATATATATATATATATATATATATATATATATATATATATATATATATATATATATATATATATATGTCGTACCTAGTAGCCAGAACGCACTTTTCTGCCTACTATACAAGGCCCGATTTGCCTAATAAGCCAAGTTTACATGAATTAATTGTTTTTCGACTACCTAACCTACCTAACC